AGAGAGGGAACACAAGCAGGGGGAGTGGGAGAGGGAGAAGCAGGCTTCCCGTGGAGCAGGGAGCCCGATGTGGGGCTCGATCCCAGGACCCTGGGATCATGACCCAAGCCGAAGGCAGATGCTTAACAACTGAGCCACCCAGGCGCCCCCAGAAGTCACATTTAAATCTGTAAATATATAACAATAACACTCAGCCCTCTTCCCACATCTAAAAGCGTACAGTATTTCGTAAGTGCTTTTACCAGAAAGACTGCAATTTAATAAATGGTATCCTCGCACATCTCCCATCTGTCTCTTATTTCTGCCATTCCTATATGATAAACTAAAGAAAATGGGCAAATTCTGCCAATAACTATTACTAGATTTCTCATCTTTTTATCCTAATAGGATGGCAAATCTTTTTTGAAAACTGATTATAAAACTGGCAGTAAAATATTGCTGGATTGACTTCAAAGTGAAGAAACTGCCATAATTATGTAAGCAACAATCTACACTTGAACTGAGTGATGCAGAGACAACATGTTACTTTGGGGGCTATGATAGATCTGGTTCACTGTCTTCTAGATGGCAGGAGAAATAAGTACGTATGCATGCAAACAACCTATATTTTTAACGTGGTGTTGAATTTTAAGAAGGTCAGTCTGGAATAAAACACCTCAAAGCTAAAAAGGATCAGCATTACACACACACACACACACACACACACACACACACGTCCCTTCACCCTTCAAATGGCCCCTGGAATCATCATCTTTAGATTATTTAGCAAGTTATATACTTCTAAAGCCACTTCTCTAGCAAAACTCACTCTGACAGGTAGTTCACCCAGTCCGTTAGTTTATAAAAACCTATAATCAGCCACACTGTAATAACCAAGATGAAGGTAGTTGAGTAATTAGCTCCCCTACCACAAGTTAAAAAGGAAAGTTAAATGAATATCAAACATTGTCTATTCATCACTCTCGAGCTAAATAAAGCTACTGTGGTAGAGACTTCGCAAAGAGGTCAGTAAGAATTCCTCCCATCTCTGTATACATGTCCTTTGGCCATGTGATTTTACCTCTCCGCCCAACAAGCAGGGAAATGGATTTCCCTTCCCTTTGAACCTGAGCTGGCTGGGTGAGGCACGTGAGACAGAGCGACACTGGGTGAGTCCCAAGCCTCGGCCTCCGGAGCCCTTGCAGCTCCAGCCCCGCTAACCTGGCACACGGTGCAACCCAGGGATGAAGCTCAGGCGAGCCACCTTGAGAATGAGAAATCCGAGGAGAGAGGGCCGGCCGACAGCCAGCACCAACCACCACACACACGAGTGAGACTGTCTTAAAAGAGGTAGCCCCAACCCAGCTGGCCGTGGACGGGCCCTAGGCAAGACCAGCAGACCTGCCCGGCCCAGCCCACAAATCGCCAACCCACAGAATCGTAAGCAAATAAAACGGTCATTGGTTTAAGCCAGTAGGTTTGTAACACAACTATACCTAGCTGATAGAAAGACTGTCGAAATCCACGCCAAGCCTTTCAGTTAGTCAGAGGCACTCCTGAAGGCAAAGCTTTAAATGAGGTGCCCAACTCAACCAGCTGTTGCCGCTGAAACTTTCCAGGAAAAACTATATTGTCCCTACTTGCTTTGACCCCTTGCCGAACCCCCACAAATTTTAAACTTGGATATGCCCCTGAGTTCTTTCTCTCTCTGTGTCTCTTACTCGTGCTCAGGTCTCGAGGTCTTTGGCTGCCTGGTGTTCATCTCTGGCTTTACAGATCTCATCTTGGAATCCTCCCCCAACTCGACCGTGCATCCTCTCAGTCCAGCATCAGCTTTTGCTTGTGCTATCCTTACCTCTAGACAAACAACTCATTGTAATCTCAAACCACAGTCCTGGGTCATCTCAGTACTTCTATGAAGTAGTGATGCCGAATCTATTAAAAACAATGAATTAAACAACCAACAGCACTGTTCAGGCTAGAGTCATTCTGCAAGATTAAATTATTATTCCAATAAAGCTACAAGTGCTTAAAACAGTTTCTGGAAATATCTTAAGAGCAAATTAATGTCACATTAGAAATCGGTCTCATTTCTTCGTAGGAGGGCTGATAGAAACGGGTAATTTTTTTCATTTAAAATAAAATGTAGGGGCGCCTGGGTGGCTCAGTCAGTTAAGCGCCTGCCTTCGGCTCAGGTCATGATCCGAGGGTCCTGGGATCGAGTCCCTCGTCGGGCTCCTTTTCAGAGGGGAGCTGCTTCTCCCTCTGCCTGCCGCTCCCCCTGCTTGTGCTCTCTCTCTCTCTCTCTGAGACAATAAATAAAATCTTTAAAAAAAATAAATTAAATTAAATTAAATGTAGCTATAAAGTGTAAGTGGACACCCTCCCACCACCTCCCACCTCCTTATTAAAGGAAACAATACTTCTTGTGTAGATAAATTCTGATGTGATCAATTTTAAAGTCAATCGTATCCCATGAAGATCACCCTTCATATGTTTGACACTCCCTTTCTTCCAAGTAGCTCCAAGAGACAAGGGAATATTTAATTTTTAAACAACTGTACACAGCTAAAGACAATTCACTCTTCATAAGGTAGACTAAACGGAACATAAGCTACAAGCAAGCACAAGCAACACAAGTACCTGGAACTTTTACCCACCCTAGTGACTACATGTCACTTACCTGCTTTTAAGGCTATTTAAGCAAATATATAAGCTTCCAAGATGCCTATATTGTCTATTTCTAATGGGCTTTAAAGAGCAGGACAGGAAATTATGGCCCTTACAAAGTCTTGCTGGTTCTATGGAAACAATCAGGAAGATGGCTAGAAATGAACTCAGAGGCTCATTATCTCTTAGTCCTAGAGATGGTCACTTTTTAAACAACTGATGAGTATTTTAGTAAAGATAAACAATCTAGCCCCTGATCTTAACTTATGCCAAAAATATTCCTCTTCTTAAGTGAGTCCTAATGATCACAATTTGAAACTACACAGACATTGCTCCTAGCTCTATTTCAGCCTCCCAAGTGCCCAGGAAAGGTGCCATGTTAAGACTGTTTCCACAACAACCCTTGTTGAAGGTCAGGCACTGGATGTAGGGCTCCAGAAACTTGAAAGGGCATACACAAGGAAAAATTTTAAAGGATTACATAGTAAAATATTCTGTTACGGCCCCAGTCACCCAAGGGACACCAAACATGAGAAAGTACAGACTGTTCCTGAATTGCCCAAAATTAAACCCAGTTAATCTCCCTGCACAGACTTTTTTTTCACCCCTCAGTCATTAATTCTCTCTCCTAACAAAGCAGGTATCCTACTCAAACAGTGGTTACCAAGTGTGCATTTCTGTTAAGGTACTGATTTAAATACTGGATGTTTTATTTGCTTTGTGATACATTACTTAGGTTAAACCATTAATCTTTTAATGACTGAGATACCAAATTGTTTTAAACTTGAGAGAAAAGAATGACTCAGATACCAAATTGTTTTAAACTCAAGAGAAAAGAAGTGTACATGATTCAAACTCACCATTTAAGTGACTAAAATTGATACAGGTATTATTTTTTCCAAGTAGAGTTAATTTCACAACTCCTTTGTCATTTCATTTAAAAAAAAAAAAAACCTAGTCAGTTCTTTCTTCATAAATAAAATAAACTGAAGTGATACGGTCTACCACATCCAACCCAAGACTCTGAAGTGATTTCTTAAGGAAATGTAACATTTTGATACTTCTGAAAATAGTGTAGCTCATTTGGGAGGATCCTCCGTGTTTACAATAATCACAGGAACATCCCAGAATGAGTTAAAAGTGGATAAGATAAAAACTCACACTTCAGAACTATCTCCCTACGTCAACAGGGGTATCTGTTTCACCACACAGGCAAGAAAGAATAACTGCTCTTCTGAAAATACGAATCAATTAGCTTTCAAATAAAGCACAGAGTGAAAACAAAAGATTTTATTTTTTAAGTAAGGTTAGCATTGCCTCTCTCATTTTGTATTTCTAAGTCAGTGTCAGCACCTCAGCATGTTACCCGGAGGTGGCCGTCACAATATTTAGTCGTTTTCTGAACATTCTGGAGAAGTTATCATCCAGTGCTGTCCAATAAAACGTTTTGCGGTGATGGAATAATCTATATCTGAGCTATCCAACAGGCTTATTGGATAGTGCAGATTATAGACTTGAAGTTCAAGAAACAAAACCCAGTTCTATAGCCACACTAGCCACAATTAGCTACTGAGCACTTGAAATGTGCCTAGTGAAACTGAGGAACTGTGTTTTATTTAACTTTTTTAAAGATCTATTCTTTGGAGCAGTTTTAGGTTTACAGCAAGACTGAGAGGAAGGTAGAGATTTCCCACATACCCTCTGCCCCCCCCCTCCCCCACACACACACGCACAGCCTCCCCCATTACCAACATCCCCTTGTCACAACGGACGAACCCACACCGGCACGTCATTACCACCTGAAGTGCGCAGCTGATGTCAGGGTTCACTCTGGATGCTGTACATTCAGAGTTTGGGGAAAAGGATAACGTCATGTAGCCATCATTATGCTATCCCACAGAATGGTTTCACAGCCTAGACATCCTCTGTGCTCCGTCTATTCGCCGCTCACCCCCCTCCCCCAAATTATTTAATTTCCATGAATTTAAATTTAAATAGCCACATGTGGCTAGCGGCTACCATACCGGACAGCTTAGAACCAGACACCCGGTAAAGACCACTGTCGCTGTCCTGGCCATGACAACGCATCAGCCTGGCGGAAGGGACTCGGCTCTTGCACAGGAACTGCTCCAGCTAGTGATCAGCTCCGAAGTTCCTCTACTTCATATGCTTTCTTCACCCATCACCTTGCTGCTCCTCAGCCTTTTACTTTCCAACACGCCCATGCACGCCCCCAACTCCGCCTCACTGATAAGGTTATAACCCAGTCTATTTTAACAGAGCAGGCAATGGATGATGATAGAAATGAAATGACTTTATGTTCATATGCCACCACGCTTACATGTTAAATAAAACACACCCTGATGAAGAAATATACATCAAGATCATTTTAACACCTCTAAAGAAATAAATAAGATTTTTACTGTGATAGTTACATGGTAAATACGTTCCCAGACAGATACTCTGTTAAAATGGTAGTTATAAAATTCATTGACTCGGTAATATTTCTAACTTCTTCCTTCTCACTAATGAGGAACCAATGTGATGTAAGTAGGAAAAAAAAAAAAAACTGAACTAGGCAGGAATCACAAGCCTGAGATTCTAAGGACTTTGGGACCAACAGCTTAAAAAAAATAAATAAGTAAGTTGAAGAACTTAAGCCACTAGAGTCTTGATCTGTAAAACAAAGGAGCAGGAATGGATTTTCTCTTCAGTCTGTTCCAAAATTTCCTGATTCTGTATTCTTAATGCCATTCCTCACTTAGGAATTGACTTATAAAACCCAACAATGACCTATCATTCCTTCCCCTGAGCACTCTTTCTCCCTGCTTGAGTCACCCCATAATTAAGCAAAGGGGATGGTGACATTGCCAATTATGAAGGAAGGAAGGAAGGACGGACCAGATAATTCTAATTAAAATGTAAGTAATACAAGATAGGCCAATAGGCACCAATCCAGAAAATATCAACCCGCAAACTAAACAGGGCAAGCAAAAAAGCACTTGGAATGCCCCGTTACAAACCCTGGTAAAAACTGATGCTACCAGTACAAAACAAGAGCACGGGTTCTTGTAAGACCTCAACCATCAATAGAATGATTATGAGAAGTCTCAGAACTGGTGCAAACAATTTGCACCAGAAGCCACAGGTCACTGGCTTCCAAAATACTCCCCAAATGAAGGTGCCTGGCTGGCTCAATTGGTAGAGCATGTGACTCTTGATCTCAGGGTCCTAAGTTTAAGCCCCATGTTGGGGGTAGAGTTTACTTTAAAAAAAAAGTCAGTAAAATTAAATTTAAAAAAAATATTCCCCAAATGAAGATCTATCGTTCATATGGCAGAAAGTCATCAATCTTCACTTACCACATTAGTTCTTCCAGTAAATAGCTCTAATAGTGACCTAAACCCCAAAAACGTCACCAAAATGTACACTTTCACCTAAGGGAAGAACTGAATGAGGACCCCCACTACTTGGCCTCTGAGAATTATACTAAATGTCACTTACCGAAAGAAGTTTGAAAACAAAAGTCTATCTTAAAATGATATCTTCCTATATATTTACATATACAATCAGTTTTAAAAGTCAATTTGTCTAATTCCTCAATGTCCAAGAAGTTTCTTAAAACTAAACCAGAGCTTATTCTCAGACAACTGACAGGTGGAAAGAAACGTGAACTATATCAGCATTCACTCACATCAGATTCCAAAGTGTGTACCTAAATCAATTCTAGAACTAAAGCACTGCCGACTCATTCTCATAAGAGCTGCTATTTCTGCCCTGCTTCCCAGTTAAGCCAAGCCTAAAATGCCTTTTTAATTAACATATTGAATTCTTCTCTCAAATCAAAAACTTGACCAATGAATGGCAGATTTGCAAAAAGAAACACTCGAAACACTTGAATCACTTCAACCATCTTGGAGTTGTTTGGTATAATTTAAAAAACCCATCCTGGAGAAAAATGCAAAACCTCATAGGATTACAAGAATGCCATTTAAGCAGGAAAAAAAATTTCTTCCCAATGAATACACCATAGGAGGAATTATAACACCTATTAGATTGATTTTGAATTAAAAAGAACGATGGTCTTAGCCATATCTATGGTCTTAGCCATATCCTACCCTATCCACACCAATCTTACTACCTTTGGTCCCTTATTATTTATAAAAATACAATCCCTGCCATCATAACAACCTTTGAAAACCACCTGTCCTGATATTCTGTTCCTGTGTTTCACTTATATCCTTGATCTTTTCCCAACAGTCCTGATTTCTACACAGCAAGAAGCCCCATAGAACTTCAAGGTTGGGTTATATATAAATACATAAACAGGAAGAGAGAGGTCATGGGTGTACCCAACAAAGGAAAGCTCTAGAGAAGAAGAGACCAGTACCAGGACCTCCCTGTCCTGCTCTACAGCGCCTAAGTAAAAGGATGCCGCAACTGTGATAGAGAGCTCTGGGTCCTTCATCCGGAGAGACCACCTTGCAGTCCGATGACCTCAGGAAAGTCAGGCCTCTGCACGCTGCCTCCCTGCACAGTACAGGCAAGTACAAGCGCTCAAGTGCTTACTCTTCATCTGGGAGGATTAATGAGCTAATTTCTACAGAGCCCTTTAAGCTGACTGGTCCAAACGAAACTAAATAGGCATCATCATCAACCACAGGCAAGATCGACTCTTCAGGATCCAGGGAGGCAAATTTTTAGAAGTCAGGCAATGTTCTCCTTAAACAAGAAGGGAAAGAGCGTTTGTCCCCAGAAAATTCAGACTTTAATCCAGAAAACATTTATCAAATATTTAATACGAGGTGTGGGGTATAGAGGCCAGAGACACTGTCCTCAAGAAGGAGTTAACATCTAGTGCCAGGATGGGCAAGGAAGCAAACAATTTGCACACAGTATGAGGACCGCCAGGGGGTGAAATACCCAACAAAGCAAGGGGAAAAGGGAAAGGAGGCTCAGGGGCAGAGACTGTTGCTGTGAAGAAATCATTTATTCCCGGTCTTAACAGGAGGCCAGACCTGGGTGTGTTCAATTTATGAACGTGCATCAAGCTGTACATTTATGATCTGGACGCTTTTCCACATGCATGTTATACTTCAATGAAAGGAAAACTTAAAAGGAGAGACAGTGTTCTTTGTTAAATAAATGAAGACTGTAGGGAACGGTGTGGAATGGTGTTCCAAGCAGAGTGAAAATTGCCTTGCAAGGGTAGGATAACATGAATGAATTATTTCAGCAATTGCAAAAGGTTCCCACTGGCTGGGAGTTGAGAATGGAAATGACAAGGAAGGTCTGTCTGGAAAGGGAGGCAAGAGACAATTCCCAAAAAGGCCTTCAACACCATGCTTAGAGTTAACCTTAAGAATGATACAAAAGCCACAAAAAGTGTATAAGCCTGGGGTGACTGATAAAAATGTTGGTATAGCTCTATCATTTTGCTAACAGTGCATACTGTAGCTGGAAGCAAGAATGGAGAGGAGGAAGGAACCTACCTAGGAACTTATTACAATAACCCAAATAAGAACTGATCAGGGACTGGACTAAACCGGTGATGGCCAAGAGGAGGAGTTAAAGACAGAACAAAGAAGATGACAAGGACGCAGAATATCAAGGACTGATGACCAATTCTATGTGGGAGATGGAAGAAGACAGCAAAGTGTGGGATCACTGGCATGTTTCTGTTTCGCGCTCGAGGGTCTATTTATTTTTAAAGATTTTATTTATTTGACAGAGAGAGAACACAGCAAGTGAGGGAACACAAGCAGGGGGAGTGGGAGAGGGAGAAGCAGGCTTCCCACGGGGCAGGGAGCCCTTTGTGGGGCTCGATCCCAGGACCCTGGGATCATGACCTGAGCCGAAGGCAGACGCTTAACGACGGAGCCACCCAGGCGCCCCTCACGCTTGAGGGTCTTAAGGAGGATGTTGACGAAGCAAAGGTGGAAAGACAGTGAGTTTAATCGTGAGTACGAAGTTCTATGGAACACCTACACAAAGACCTAGGAAGGGCAGCAGACGCGCCGGTCCAAAGAGGGAGCACGTCCGCATCTCAGGGGATGGGTGAAGCCGCAGGCATATGGTGAAGGGGATTCTGGAGCAGGGGCCAGCGTGAGAGGAGAGAGGGCAGATGGTGCCAAATCCGGCAGAGAGGAAAACAGAGGACTGCAGTGTCCCGGGGCTGTGGCCGCCACACAAGCGTCCCGGCGATTGTGGAGATGGCACCTCTGGTTTCTCAGCGAGAGGGCGAAAGCCCGATGGCAGCGGGCTGAGACGTGAACGAGAGGTTCTTTCGAGCGGCTTAGCTGCCGAAGGAAGGAAGGAAGGAGAGGAGGTAGTGGCTAGAGGAGGAAGGGGTAGTGAGTGTTTTGTTTTGTTCTCTTTTGTTGTTAAAGGTAAGAAAGACCTGAGAGTATTTTTAAGCAGAGGGAAAAGCAGAGAGGGAAGGAAAGAGATAGGGGAGCAGTAGTGATGACTTTATCTGAAAACAAACGCTCCTGTCCTCTCGCACTCTGGGACCCGGGGATGTTTCTTTTAGTCAGCAGCATTTCCTGCCAGCATGGCAGCCTCCACAGGGTGAACTCAGAGGTGGAAGAAAAGTGCAATCTTAGCAGGTCCTTCTCAGAGCCCTGTCATAATGGGCTGTTCCTCCCAGCAACCTTCCCCCAGGATGCTCTCACCACTTGTCAGAGGGCCATTTGGCACCTAAACCCCTGAGCTCTCCAAATGGCCAGGAGCTCCACAGGTCTCTCCACTTCCTCCTGCAGAGGAGGGAAGATGCGGGGCGGGGGGGGGGGGGGTTAGGCCAGCTACCTTCTAGCCAGCACACCCCAGAAGGAGGACACGAGCAGGGAAACCCTCCCACCAGCTCCCTCCCTGC